GTCAAAATAAACAAGTTTTGTAGATCTGAAAATAGAAGAGTTAAGATATTTTACTTGTAGGAAGGTTTAGGGGCATTGGATTACTGGGTAAGTTTCCTCATATCATTTAGTCCCTCCAACCCCTAAGGTGCTTCTTCTGGAAAAAGCACTGAATAGATTTTAACCAAATTTATTATGAAATACCATTTGGATCAGGGCAGAGAACTATCTTTTGTATCACTACCCCTCATGAAAGCTGAGGGGTAACACCTGAAACGGAGATTTTGTTTTGCTGAAACTTTCTTCTGAGACTTAGAAAGCAGAGCTGTTTCAGTTCGAAGGATATAGACTAGGGGCAAGGAATATATTTTTCTCACATCAAGTTCTTATCACCGCATCAAGGGATCAAAGGTTCATAGTACCTCCCCTGTCAAAATGAATGCTTATTTAACTTGCTCAAAGAAAAACCAGTAAGTGTGTCTCCAAACAAATCAACTGAATAGATTCCAACCTACCACACCAAGCTGTCATAGGTTCTAAAGGATTCCATATATAGGGGAAAAGACAAAAGTACTGCTTAGATTTTGAACTTGGTTTGTTTTCATAAATGCTGTATTCACTTAATAAGGTAACAAGGTCTTGAGGTCATAAGTTTAGTACCATCATGTCAAGTCCGTTTGATCCTAAATGTGACCCTGCCAAGGATATCACTTAGATTGTAGATAAAATACATGGCATGCTTCTTCATAGAATATTTTCTGAGGCAAACTTTCAACAAATTTTGCATGAATTTTGCAAGAATTATGCAGAATATATATATCATACAGTAATATAATTCAGTCAGAGAAGAGAGATGTATGTCTGCTGATGATAGAGAAAGATGCTAGCTAAGCAACATAAAGCTCTTAAGTTCTGTGTGACAATTTCAATCATTCGATTCAGTAATTCATGAAAATGGATGAATAAAAGGGTTGGTTACTATACTGATATCACAATCCTTTGATCATAGTTCCATTACCATGCCAGATTTAGACGTCACTTAGTAATGAACAGTCGTACTGTACAGAGGTGGACATGGACTGTTTATTTGTTAGTGTATACCAATTCAAACTTTAGCATGTTTTCTGTTTCAGCTTCATCCTTTTAAAATGAAATATTTAAATCATATCCGAGGCCTTGAATACAAACACATTTATTAAAAGCGAGTATTGAAGATGTCTAAATCAAGGTTACCGAGATATTGCTTTAATCTCGTATGTGGTTCAGTTTTTGTTTTAGCATTTTTATTTATCACAGGAAGTCAAACTTATACAAACAACAAATCGTAGGTATTTGACCTACATCACTTTATTTACTTAACAAACTGATCTAATGGATTGCTGGTTGGTGAAACCCCTGGCTCATGGCTACCAAGACATCTATGACATCATCAGTCCTCCTGCAGATTAAATCAACGCAATATTTTTTTTTCACTGCTCTTAAAACACGATCTAATGCAGAATTCATTTTTGGTTTCCAGGTTGCAAACTTGAATAGATGCTATTTATCACATGGCTAACATATATATAACACGTGATCAACAGAATACACCCATAACTATTTTTTTACAGATTACCTCTTGGAACATAACCCATAGCAATTTCAGAATTAAGACGACAGTCGTTACATCATAAAATTCTTTTGTCGCATTGAAGGTAAAAGACATATTATTTCAATGAAATATTAAAGACTTGACAGTCGAATGTTATAGAAAACATCTTTTTCACAAATGTTTGTATACATTCATGGTACAGTGATACTTTCAAGATTTTGATTTTGTTTACATTTTCATCAGAGATTTATGAAACATCCCTTGAAGTATTAAATGTACTGGTTTTTCAATTCTTATGAAGTTCTATGGGGAATGGAAGATTATTTTGAGTCTGATTGAACTCTATGAGTGTTAATCCGTTTGGAAGATTAAATTGTGGTCTGATTGAAATCTATGGGTAAAAGAAGATTAATTTGAGTGATTGAACTCTATGGGATATAGAATATTATTTTGTGTATGATTGAACTCTATGGGATATAGAATATTGTTATGTGTATGATTGAACTCTATGGGGAATAGGAGATTATATTGAGTCTGAATGAACTCTGTGAGAAATAGGAGATTATACTGAGTCTGATTGAACTCTATGGGTAATAGAAGATTAATTTGAGTGATTGAACTCTATGGGGTATAGGAGATAATTTTGAGTCTAATTTAACTCTATGGGGAATAGATTATTATTTTGTGTATGATTGAACTCTATGGGGAAAGGAGATTATATTGAGTCTGATTGAACTCTATGGGTAATAGAAGATTAATTTGAGCGATTGAACTCTATGGGGTATAGGGAATTATATTGAGTCTAATTGAACTCTATGGGGAATAAAACATTATTATGTGTATGGTTGTATTGAGTCTGATTGAACTCTATAGGGAATAGGAGATTATATTGAGTCTGATTGAACTCTATGGGGAATAGGAGATTTTATTGAGTCTGACTGAACTCTTTGGGGAAAAAAAGATTATATTGAGTCTGATTGAACTCTATGGGGAATAGGAAATTATATTGAGTCTGATTGAACTCTAGGGAATAGGAGATTTTATTGAGTCTGATTGAACTCTTTGGCAAATAGGAGGTTATATTGTGTCTAATTGAACTCTTTTGGGAAAAGGAGAATATATTGAGTCTGATTGAATTATATGGGGAAAAGGAGATTATATTGAGTCTGATTGAACTCTATGGGTAATAGAAGATTAATTTAAGTGATTGAACTCTATGGGCTATAGGAGATTATTTTGAGTCTTAAATTGAACTCTATGGGTAATAGGAGATCATTTTGTGTATGATTGAACTCTATGGGTAATAGAAGAATAATTTAAGTGATTGAACTCTATGGGGAATAAAATATTATTTTGTGTATGATTGTCTGATTGAACTCTACAGGGAATAGAAGATTATATTGAGTCTGATTGAACTCTATGGGAAATAAGAGATTATATTGAGTCTGATTGAACTCTTTGGGGAAAAGAAGATTATATTTATTCCGATTGAACTCTATGGGGAATAGGAGATTATATTGAGTCTGATTGAACTTTATGGGGAATAGGAGATTATATTGAGTCTGATTGAACTCTATGGGAAATAAGAGATTATATTGAGTCTGATTGAAGTCTTTGGGGAAGAGGAGATTATATTGAGTCTGATTGAACTTTATGGGAAATAAGAGATTATATTGAGTCTGATTGAAGTCTCTGGGGAACAGGAGATTATATTGAGTCTGATTGAACTTTATGGGGAATAGGAGATTATATTGAGTCTGATTGAACTCTTTGGGGAACAGGAGATTATATTGAGTCTGATTGAACTCTATGGAGAATAGGAGATTTTATTATTGAGAGTGCTTCAGAATTTCAGAATTCTTTATCCTGATGAAAATCATCATTTTGAATATCTCGTCACTGTAAAAAATAACACTTTTATTTCATGAATCATTCCTGATATTTCACTGGTAAAAATGTAATAGCCAATCGTATCTGAGTTTTATAAATATTAGGAGGGTTATACACTTTGATGTCGTATCTGATGATGCTCTGTGATGAATAAGATGGTGAAGTCAGCATATATCATGACTTATCGTCTATTGGCCGTCATTTTCTCTCCGTCAGAAAGTCTCAAAAAGGGGAATAGAGTTATATCTTTAAAAGAATTCTTCTTAAATATCCGATGAAAGGCTTTTCATCAAAACTGACATTGGGCATCCATAGGCCTTGGGAATTCAAATATTTATATTGAATATTGTATAAATGAAGAGCAGGTGGCTAACTAAATGTGGGATATGAGATAAAACATTTCAACCTTTTTCCTCAAGCTGGTCCTAGCGTGAAACGATCTTAGACTTAAGATTTCGTTAGCCAATCATGTATGCTATCACTTTTCATACTGTTTTTTTGTTATTGGCTAAGTCAAAAGGAAATAAGCAATCTTGTTACCACATGGTAAGGAAATAAGCAATCTTGTTACCACATGGTAAGTAAGTAAGCAATCTTGTAACCACATGGTAAGTAAGTAAGCAATCTTGTTACCACATGGTAAGGAAATAAGCAATCTTGTTACCACATGGTAAGTAAGTAAGCAATCTTGTTACCACATGGTAAGTAAGTAAGCAATCTTGTTACCACATGGTAAGTAAGTAAGCAATCTTGTTACCACATGGTAAGTAAGTAAGCAATCTTGTTACCACATGGTAAGTAAGTAAGCAATCTTGTTACCACATGGTAAGTAAGTAAGCAATCTTGTTACCACATGGTAAGTAAGTAAGCAATCTTGTTACCACATGGTAAGTAAGTAAGCAATCTTGTTACCACATGGTAAGTAAGTAAGCAATCTTGTTACCACATGGTAAGTAAGTAAGCAATCTTGTTACCACATGGTAAGTAAGTAAGCAATCTTGTTACCACATGGTAAGTAAGTAAGCAATCTTGTTACCACATGGTAAGTAAGTAAGCAATCTTGTTACCACATGGTAAGTAAGTAAGTAATCTTGTTGCCACATGTTAAGGAAATAAGTAATCTTGTTACCACATGTTAAAGAAATAAGCAATCTTGTTGCAAATTCTAAGGAATGTATACACAGACAGTATGTGACATGGTCCTATTGATTGCTGATCACGCTGATTGGACCGACATGTTACACACTGGCCCTATAGATGTGTGGTACTCTGACTCAGACAGACAGCTGGTTATACAACCTTTTTCTAACAAAGATTATTTACATATTACTGGCCTTGTAAAGGTTCATGAAATTAGTTATTCAGTAGGATCTGTTTCAAGTGTACAAATTTAAAAATTCAGAATTTGTTCCGATATTTTACAGATTAACGTGAAAAATATTTTTTTGTGTGCAGTTTTAGCGCAGAGTATGTATTAGTGTTTAGGTGACATCTATGAATTTTACAGTTTGCTATAATACCACTTGTACATTTGTTGCAGAGGAAACCCGGAGGTAGTTGGGGCCATGTCTTGTGTATGGGATCTACAGAAGGTCGTGAACTGACGGTAGTGGACATTAGTCATCAATCAAACTCTTTTAGAATAATACTCACTTTTTATATAAAACTCTCTTAGCGGTAAGTCTTCAGTTACTTCTTATTTTACTTTGAAAAAGTGGTTGTAAAACTTGAAAGCAAAATCTGTTTTATATTATTAAATGTCTGTTTCTGAAGACTTTTTAGATACCCTGGTATGGATAATGATGTTGAATTTTTCTGATATGGATTACCAGTGTTTTTTCTTTCTAATTGTTTTACAATTTTTCTGTTGATTTTCCTATGCCTTTATTGTGGATTTTGTTTTTTGTGTCATCTTATCCTTTATATATGTGATTCTCATGTTGAAATGTATGATACTGAGGTGGTGTATATTTTATCACGGAAATTGTTTTATTTCTACGGTATATTTACAAACCTCCGCAGGGTATTCAGAATCCTTTTTTGTTGTAAATTTATTGCTTTCATTACATCTGATTGAAGTACATTATATTTGCTGTACTTATAGCATATTGCATATAGGGTCTCGGACACTTGTTACGAGGATATTTAGATGTCACATCAAATGTACAAACAGTTTTATATTAATGTTTTAAACATCTCGGCGGAGTAGATCTGATTATTCCCGTCATACACGGGACGATGTATGGGCCTTTTATTGAATAATTCTTATTTTATGTATGTCATTGGTACGACAGGGGCACAGTGAAACCTATCACTGATACCATTTAGGTACAGGTTTTACAAATATCCTGTTTCACCTGAGTTCACTTTTGCCCTCAAAAAACTTATTTTACACCTGTAACACTTCAGCTTTATTGGTAATTAAAAATTGTCATGATTATGTTCATTGATACAGTACTTTTAACAAAATATCTATGTGAATAAATTTCCGGGGTTTTACTGTAGTATGGAAAGTATAAATGCTAACAACAGTTTACCAGGTAACTGTACATTTAGGTGTTTAACAATAAATACTGTATAACCTTGTACAGCAATTGTAAATTACTATACGGTAAATATAAATGTTTATCAGTAAATGTGTTAATATGTAATATAACTCATATGCAGTAAATACAAGTGTTGTAAGTATATTTCTACCACATTACGCTCTGTTATTCCACTCTCAGATCATTGTATAAACACGCAGACTGTTAGATAAATATGAGTTATATACCACATGTGGTATATGACCTGCAAGAGTTTTGATCGGTCGAGAAGATGAACTTTGACCGGGACAACTTTTTCCACTTGCTTTTTGCCACATGCTGTTTTGTTTACGTCGTCTGCTATCAACATCCGACAAATGTTGGTGACTTTGTGAGGTTATGCGGAAAAGGGGGTTATTAAGGCAATATTAAAAGAAGATGATACTTAAAGATCTGATCTCTAGATTCAGGCAAAATTGCTACAGACGATCTGTACCGTTTCGACGTCACACCGTCGTGTGTCCAGGTCATGAAACCAAAACAAATTAAGATCTGTCACAGTGTCAGAAAATATTTCGTTCTCCCAACGTCCCTTTATCGCTATTTGGACGGCCTGTATATGGCTGAACTTTCACTATAAACGTCAACCATAGAACCGTCAAGAAGAAACGTAGGCCTATGGTTTTGGACATTGACAGCGATAAGTTCGTCACTTGGTGGGAGGCAGACTTCGTACGATATGCTTACGCGCATATAGTCCGTGGTTAATTTATATAAATCAATGAAATACGGCTACTCTCAATATTTAAAGTCGTTCATCTATTTTATTTTTTCATGAAGTTGTTGCCAAAACATTAGTTTTGACAATTATTGAATTTGTAAAAAAGGAGTTGTTTTTGAATATTAATGAGTGACTTTTTACATATGGGTCATATCACTACGCCAGCCTTGTCAACAAATACACGTGTGTATGTTATTTCCGACTGATCATGAGATTGTGGTAGAAACAGATCACACGACTCGTGGTTGTTGAGTATGGTATTTATTTCACTCTCGTTAGTTAATTTTCAGAAGTTACAAAAAGACACTCGCTAAAGCTCGTGTCTTTTGTAACTTTTGAAAATTAACTAACTCAAGTGAAATAAATACCATATTCAACAACCACCCGTTGTGTAACCTCTATTTATACAGTAAAGATATGTGCTGTTTTACAGTTAATATAAGCAACTATGCAGTAAATTTAAATACTATATGGTAAAAATATACCCATTATACAATGAATACCATCACTTCACAGTAAATACTTCAGTGCTATACAGTAAATATAAGTGCTATACAGTAAATATAAGTGCCTACAGTAAATATAAGGGATAACAGTAAATACTTCAGTACTATACAGTAAATATATTAACTGTAAAACAGCACATATCTTTACTGTTAATATAAGCAACTATGCAGTAAATTTAAATACTATATGGTAAAAATATGCCCATTATACAATGAATACCATCACTTCCCAGTAAATACTTCAGTGCTATACAGTAAATATAAGTGCTAACAGTAAATACAAATGCTACACTGTAATTGTTTGTTTTTATCCTGCTTCTCTTGATTTCATTCAAGCTGCAGATGACATCAACATAACTAAATATCACAAGGTGTATACCCATGTTCTATTAATTCAGATGTCATTAAAGGATAGGATGTCAGTCAGTGTAAGACACTGGATAAGTGTTCTGTAGCAGATACAAAAAGGGGTTATCAAATTCAGTGTGTCATTTAAACTTTAGTTTTTTTGCATAAATAATAACATGTTACAAGGTAGTTGATCCCTGTTGAAACTGGTCACTGGAAGGTAAAGTTTAGTTGTAGTTCAAAATTATTTTATGAAGTGATATATATATAAAATTTCGTGATTAAATGCCGATACCCTATAAATAATAAGTAGTTGATTGATGTCTTGAGGATTTGGAGCAACAGTCTTGTTAACTAGAAGATTTAGACCAGTACTGATAAACTTTGTCTTTGTTGCTCTGGATGAACACTTACAGTACAGATAATAAGAAAATCAATCATTTTAAACTTGAAAGCTCAAAGGGAATGTAAACGAGATATTCATCACCTTTAGTACAGGTCTGCAGACGTATGGCTATAGCCTTGGCTTATTATCAGGAAAAGTACTCAAATGGGTTTGTAGAAATGTAGAAGTACTCAAAGGGTTTGTAGAAATGTAGAAGTACTCAAAGGGGTTTGTAGACACACAAAAGAGAAAAACTGGCCTTGTAGCGATGTAAAAGAATGCAAAGGGCTTGTAGGTGTAGAATGGCAAAAAAACCTTAAAGTGCTTCAGGCAAATTAGTCCTTGGGTCATAACACGGAAACAGTTGAGATCCCCCCCCCCCCCCCCCCCCCCTATAACCATATACCTTCTTACTGGGCATGAAGAGATGAATACAATAATGCTATAAGGATTGGCTCCAGGGTCTGGCCCCATCCTTGGAGAATTAACCCCTGGGTCATGCCATGGAAATGGTAGAGATCCCCACCCCATTACTGCTTACATACAATATTGCTCTACATGAAAAAACAAACACAATTACGCCTTCAAGATTGGCCATGGGTTCTACCGCTGCCTGTTTAGAATTTAGTTTCTGAGTCATCACATAGAAAAAGTTGAGATCCCCTCTCACTAATGCTATAAATACATTTGCTGAGCATGAGAAACAAATATATTTATGGTATTAGAAATGGCCCAGAGTAGTGTCTCGCCCAGTAGGACCTGGGTCGTAAGAAGGAAACAGTTTAGATCCATATAACCGTACAATTGCTGAGTATGAAGAGATGAATACAACGGGGAATTACGTTGTTTGGTCATAACTTAGAAACGGTTCAAATCACCACCATATAACCACATATCTGCTTGCTGGGCATTAAGAGAAAACCCTATGAAGTTATAATTTATCATATAAAACTCAACACCTAAGTATGGGAGTGGCCTTCGACGGTCAACCATTTTATTAAAGGAACAAGTACACGAAATACAAAGGGCACGCGCCCGATCCTTCTTTCCTTCTCCTTTCTCTTCGTCCTAAATCCGGATCCTGGCAGATGCTGGGAATTCCCTTTCCAGAATCTTTCCTGGAGTTCATGCCTGTCTCAAGGAAAACGGGGAAATTTCATAATTCTATGATTTTACAAAAGGAAATATAATTTCTTCAAGTGAATCGTTGAACCATCAAGACTCGAATGACTATGTTACCCTCAAACTACATTTATTACTCTAAAGACACCCGTGTCGCACCGGACCTCGTGCAGTTACATGTTACACGTCCCGCCTCACGCGGCTACCTGTGTCACCTTGACCTCATATCCGGACACTAGTACACCTGTACTATCTGCACTTCATACATTACGGTATACCGTGACTATAATAAATAAATACATGTCTACAGTGACAGTAAACAAGTTGTCACTTATATATACAATTTGTATACCCCATGATACTGACTACAGAGAGGAATATTGAGTTAGAATCAATTTAATTTCAGGTCCCTTATGTAATCAGAATCCATGTTTCCTGGTATGCCAGGAAGATATGTTGACCCTGTTGTACCTGATATTGTTAACACTAAAGTATATGATGATGTGATTAATGTTGATGCAATCATGCATGTCTGGTGATCAGTGTCGTATGTACGGTTTACACAGCTTCTCTTGTCGTCTTCTGTCGGAGGATTCGTAAAAACATCACAAAATTTCATGCTTCATTGAATTTACTTTGGTAAATAAATGTTTGTCGGATAAAGTTTTTACGATAACAACACGCCGGAGGAAGAAAACAAAACATTGACCAGTAGCCTGACAAACAATCTGCAGCATTGTTATAGACTCCACCATATAGAAAAAATAATTTTAAAGAGATGAGTTTCAAGATAGATGTTAAAGTTTTGGTGATTTTTTTAGCAGTCCAAGATTAAATAAGTTTTAATAAGTACAGGACTGATGTGGTATAATATAAGTACAGGACTGATGAGGTGTGATATAAGTACAGGACTGATGAGGTATGATTTAAGTACAGGACTGATGAGGAATGATAAGTACAGGACTGAAGTACAGGACTGATGAGGTATGAAATAAGTACAGGACTGATGTGGTATGATATAAGTATAGGACTGATGAGGTATGATACAAGTATAGGACTGATGAGGTATGATGAGTACAGGACTGATGAGGTATGAAATAAGTACAGGACTGATGTGGTATGATATAAGTACAGGACTGATGAGGTATGATATAAGTATATGACTGATGAGGTATTATATAAGTACAGGACTGATGAGGTGTGATATAAGTACAGGACTGATGTGGTATGATATAAGTATAGGACTGATGAGGTGTGATATAAGTACAGGACTGATGAGGTATAATATAAGTACAGGACTGATGATCGAGGTATAATATAAGTACAGGACTGATGAGGTGTGATATAAGTACAGGACTGATGAGGTATGATATAAGTATAGAACTGATGAGGTATGATATAAGTACAGGGCTGATGAGGTGTGATATAAGTACAGGACTGATGAGGAATGATAAGTACAGGACTGATGAGGTATGATAAGTAGAGGACTGATGAGGTATGATATAAGTACAGGGCTGATGAGGTATGATAAGTACAGGACTGATGAGGGATAATATAAGTACAGGACTGATGAGGTGTGGTATAAGTACAGGACTGATGAGGTATGATATAAGAAGAGGACTGATGAGGTATGATATAAGTATAGAACTGATGAGGTATGATATAAGTACAGGGCTGATGAGGTGTGATATAAGTACAGGACTGATGAGGTGTGATATAAGAACAGGACTGATGAGGTATAATATAAGTACAGGACTGATGTGGTATAATATAAGTACAGGACTGATGTGGTATGATATAAGTTCAGGACTGATGAGGTGTGATATAAGTACAGGACTGATGTGGTATGATATAAGTTCGGGACTGATGAGGTGTGATATAAGAACAGGACTTATGAGGTATAATATAAGTACAGGACTAATGAGGTGTGATATAAGTACAGTACTGATGTGGTATGATATAAGTTCGGGACTGATGAGGTGTGATATAAGTACAGTACTGATGTGGTATGATATAAGTTCGGGACTGATGAGGTGTGATATAAGTTCAGGACTGATGAGGAATAATATAAGTATAGGACTGATGTGGTATAATATAAGTACAGGACTGATGAGGTATGATATAAGTACAGGACTAATGAGGTGTGATATAAGTATAGGACTGATGAGGTATGATAAGTACAGGACTGATGAGGTATAATATAAGTATAGGACTGATGAGGTGTGATATAAGTTCAGGACTGATGAGGTATAATATAAGTACAGGACTGATGAGGTATGATATAAGTACAGGACTGATGAGGTATGATATAAGTACAGGACTGATGAGGTATGATATAAGTACAGGACTGATGAGGTATGATATAAGTACAGGACTGATGAGGTATGATATAAGTACAGGACTGATGAGGTATGATATAAGTACAGGACTGATGAGGTATGATATAAGTACAGGACTGATGAGGTATGATATAAGTACAGGACTGATGAGGTATGATATAAGTACAGGACTGATGAGGTATGATATAAGTACAGGACTGATGAGGTATGATATAAGTACAGGACTGATGAGGTATGATATAAGTACAGGACTGATGAGGTGTGATATAAGTACAGGACTGATGAGGTGTGATATAAGTACAGGACTGATGAGGTATGATAAGTATAGGACTGATGAGGTGTGATATAAGTACGGGACTGATGAGGAATATAAGTATAGGACTGATGTGGTAGTATAATATAAGTACAGGACTGATGAGGTATGATATAAGTACAGGACTGATGAGGTGTGATATAAGTACAGGACTGATGAGGCATGATATAAGTACAGGACTGATGAGGTATGATATAAGTACAGGACTAATGTGGTATGATATAAGTATAGGACTGATGTGGTATAATATAAGTACAGGACTGATGAGGTATGATATAAGTACAGGACTGATGTGGTATGATATAAGTACAGGACTGATGAGGTATAATATAAGTACAGGACTGATGAGGTATGATATAAGTACAGGACTGATGAGGTGTGATATAAGTACAGGACTGATGAGGTATAATATAAGTACAGGACTGATGAGGTGTGATAAGTTCAGCCCTGCCCTATAGTAGAAGGTAATGTCTTATCTATGACACTCAGTATTTGTTTTATTGCTCTTTTTCCTCTTACCTGGTGAACTCTGACCTGTGGGTATATATATACAGGATGAATAACCATGATGGAACAAGAGGAAAGCCAGCCCTTACTGCCTCACAGGCAGAACCACAGATCTCCACCTCCTCGAATCACCATACATGCAGGCATGGGTGTGGCTAAGGTTGTAAAATTAGTAGCTAAAAACTACTGCGTGAAGTGCTGTTCTAAGGAAACATTAAAGCAGAGATTTCCCATCACTAACTGGTTACCCAAATATAGGTAAGTACTCCTTTAATTTATTTGATATTGAATGTCATTTTTTTTTTAATTACCGGGTAAATTTCTGCATTACGATAAATTTTGAAAATCACTTCACACTATACATATGGTAAAAAGTATTAAATATGGTATATAGATATTTTTATAGAATTTTATCTGACAATGAAAGAAAAGCAAAAAGGAAAAATGAATGTGCATGTTTCATTTTTGGATTTTAGCTATCTTTTATTTTGATTTTCAAGTTTGTTATTTCTATTTCTCAAGCATTTCTTAACAGATCTTATACAAGTTTCATTGTAGGGTTCCCCTTGATTCATATTTGTATATGTTTCATTTTGGACTGATCAGAAAAACAAAAAGGCTATCTTGGATTTTGGGAGTTCAAGATCATTATCACTATTTCTCAAAAAGTACTCGAGAGAACTTTCCCAAATTTCATATGTAGGTTCTCCGTGGTAATTAGTTGTGAGAGTTTCATTTTGGGTCTGATTGAAAAACATGGTGACTGCCATGCAGTCATCTTTAATTTTGACAGTTCAAGAATATTATCAATATTTTCCAAGAAGTACTTTACAGATCGATTTTCCTTGTTCACATTAAGTACTCTACCCATAAATATGTGAAACGACAACCTCACTTCAGAAGTACATGACATTGTATAAATATCTTATAGGGTGATATTATGTCCATATACACAGTATGAGGTGATATTATGTCCATATACACAGTATATATTTTGTGAGGTGATATTATGTCCATATACACAGTATATATTTTGTGAGGTGATA